CAGCTCATTTGACTACACTGGTGCCACTGGGCATGCGATGCACCACATATATCCGTTCAGATTTGTGATCCCCTTGCTAAGTTTGTGATTGGTATTTGTGTTTTCACTGGAGGATTGAAATGCAGTTAACGATAACACAGAATTTTCTGGAAGAGATTTTGTGTCATTAGTCACGTGTGCCATGTAGCCAGTGTACACAAAAAAAAAAAACAAGTAATTTTCGGAGGGGGGGGGGAATAAAATAAAACCCAGGGTATCCCCTACCACCGCAGCCGAAGAATATTCAGTAATATAGCGGCTGAAACTTAACAAAAGAATGTTTTTGACCACAATAGTTCATACTTTGGTCCGAATAACAAACAATATTAAATTTAGACTTCATTTTCACACCATCAGTGTGCTTATTTCAACAGGCCTATGTTAGGAGAAACATTTATGCATTGCAACGATTAAATTCTCAGTATTCTTGATTACAGCCATAATCTTTTTATTAGAACCTCTCTAAAATGTGAAAAAAAAACAATTATGCAGTAGCCAACTCTGTTTTAATTGCTTAAGGTTTACATTATTGATGTGATGCACCGAAAAATCGAATATCTATGTTTTTATGTCTTTGGGACATAGTTCATTTATTGTGCGAGTCGAGAGTGGCCGAGATGCATACAGCATTGGCGCTGGTTCCAGCCGCTCCTTGTCCATCGTTCAGTTGGTAGAACCAAGTCTTCTAAAATGGAAGTCCAATGTACACATCTGGCTCGTGCACTTTAAAAAACCCATTGCATCTTTTGGAAGAGTAGGGGAATACCCGATGCTATGGTTCATTTCATCCCATGTCGTTTTGAATGATGTGAACATGTAGCTACTCTTTACGGCCGCTAGGTAGTCACGGACCACGCCCATAAGCAATTCAACACAATGACGCTGCGGGTTATGGGTTATTCTCCTACCATTACTGTCACAAGAGGGCGGAATTTTACTCTATTATAATACTGTTGTCATGACAGCACAGACGCTGTGTTGACAGGAAATGATATTGTGAACCTTAGGGGTGTACTGATCTCTGTGTAAGGGGGGTTTAGGTTTGATGGGTAACGTAGATAATTTGTATGACAATTAATTGTTAATTTGCGTATGAACGTAGGATACGGATTGCCGGGAAATCTGAAAGTCAGGGAGGGGCAGATCCGTGAAGAGTCTCAATGAGAGTGGGTCTTGAGTGCGATAGCACAAGGAAAATATATAATTCATATAGTATTTGAGCGTTAGCTCCAAGTAGTAAGGTGTCCTGGTCTAGCCCCCGCTAGAGGGCGCTCATGGAAGGAGACGCTATGACGTCATTTAATCCTTTACAATAAAGAACAAAAGACTAGTATACTTAATTGTGTTGGATTATCTTTTGAAATTGAAAACAAAAGGTAGGTAAGAGACGCTAATGACATCATTTAATCTCTTATTTTGGAACAATAGGATTAGTATACTTAATTGTTTACGTCATTGTGCAGTGTCAGGTGTGTTGGATTATCTTCGAAATTGAAAACAATAGGGCTGCTATGACGTCATTTAATACTTTACAATACAGAACAAAAGACTAGTATACTTAATTAAAATAATTTAAATAATAATATTAGATAAATAAAGAAAATATATATTTGAGTTGTTTACGTCATGATGCAGTGCCAGGTGTGTTGGATTATCTTCGAACAATAGGGCAGTCATTAAAGGTGCTAAAAGGAATTAAATCAAACAATTTGAATGTAATTGGAATAAACAATAGGATTAGCGATGTTTTTAATAGGATTAATTGTTTGTGACATAGGGATACCTGTGACAATGCGGGGACTTGATAGTTTGAATAGCCCGGGTTAACATAGGGTTATGACGTCTTGTATTCAATTTTTATTCAGTTAAATAAAAAACCAAGATAAATATAAGAAATATATAAAAAACGTAGAAAATAAATAAAAATAAATAAGAGGCGATGCTAATGACGTCACTTAATCCTTCTATACAATTTAGTGCTTATATTCTGGTAAAAACATAGGTTGAAACATCATTAAAAAAAAACAAAAAAAAAAAACCTGTAAGTTGTTACAATTCTCTAAACTACAAGCTAGTATTGAACTTCAAGATAGTATTTCAATTAGATGGATTTGTTTGGCAATAACTTTGAAGAACAAGGAAGCAGTTTGAATTTTGAAAATAAAGAAGTAAGAAACATGAGCATGGAATCTGAACGAATTGCACGAGAAATAAATTTAGCGTTTGTGGCATATAAACTAGGCAATGACATCTTTATAAATTATTTAGAGACGTATTGCTTGATTCAAATGAGAATATCGAGACGTTTTTCAAAGACATTTTAACAGAAATGTTCAACGATAATGTCATAAACTGGGGCCGTATAATGATTGTTTTTGTGTTTGGAGCGAGGTTAGCTGTGTTATGTAAAGATAGAAATAAATCTGATTTGATTGATGTTTTTAATAGGAGTAATACAGAGTGTAGACAAATATGTGAAGACGGAATTTTTGAAATGGAATAATATCAAAGGAGGTTTTTTTAAGTCACTTTTTTTGTGTGTTTGCAATCATTGATAAAAACATTTAATTAGTGTCTATATATAATTTTCAATTAATAACTTAAAAATTCAATTTGTTTTACTACATTATACATACTTTATTTTTTCCAGAACAATTTCGATTAATCGTATACTCAACACAAACCGATAGCAGAGATTCCTCTA